AGTAACTCACCCACCCACACATATGTATGTGAGGCCCTCGCCCTGCTCCTACCTCCCCCATATGTAGTATACCCATACAAATGTATTTAGAAGGGAACAATTCTATTTTAGCCGAATTCGGGTTGATTTGGAGCAATCAATCGTCGTCTTGTTTCTTCGTATTTCTTTCAATGAAATTTAAGAGATCCTTGAAGTCTGATCTAAGACCTATAGTTTAAGTTTGTAAAGTAATCATATATATATTCCAACAGTTTTTACTAATCATTTTTTAAAACTTACAATGAAATGGGAATATAAAAACAAGAAAAAGAACTGAATACAATGAAAGATACAATGAATACAGCGACAGTAGAAGTAGTAAAGCGCTGTCTTGTTTTCAAGAACACTTTCCAACACTAATCAGATGTTTCCGATACATTTTTTATATAACTTTTATAAGTTAAGTTAGCAAATTATAATAATAACTAACATATGTGATATATATTTATGTCAATATAGAATCCTAGTGTGAAAGCATAACCCTTACCAACTTAGTTGCTATTAACCTCACTTGTCACCCGAACAAAGGACCCTAGGACCACGAATCCTTGATTCCCACACTCTCCAAGCTGGGCAGCTGTTTGGCCCGAATAGTCCTGCCCTGCCATTGCCTTTGCATATTAATGCTCATGTAATAAACACAATCGCTCACCTTGACAGCCTGTGGCTTCGGGTTTCGGTCAGTTCGTCACTGGTCAGTCGGTTGTTCCAAGCGGTTGGGCAGCCATGCCAAATTCATGGCCTGCTCTGATCCTGATCCTGATGCTGTCGCTCTTGGTGCAACTGCTGCTTTTCGTCCTGCTTTTCCCGGTTGCATAATTTAAACGCAATTCGGACATGAATTCGATTGGCCAACATGAATCCGGGTGGCCAAAACCACAGAGGCGAAGTAAACCTGGTGACTGGAGACCCGAATGCATTTATGAATGAGTTGACACACTGTTGGGCTCAAATTTTGCGACTACCTGGCAACCAGGCAACCTTCCTGGCTGTCAATATTTGTCCCCTGACCCAGCAAGTCGCACCTTTTGTTGGACTCACTTCGCCTAATGGCGTGCAAATAGTTTTCGCAATTGAGTTGTCAAATTTTGCGGTGTTGTGGGGATAGGCATAGAGAGCTAGAAACGCCCAGAGGCCCTATGCTGGTGTCTCATGCTCGTAAATTCCTCAAACTTTTTGCTCTCATCTCAAATATTTGTCATTGCTCGTTTTACGGCTTGTTATATCACACAATCTACCTTGTCCTCCGAGCAGAGAGCTCTCCAGCACACAGAGGCCCTTAATGACATTTTATGGCTGCCACCTAGGTGAAAGCTGGCCCAAACCGGATATTCTGGAAGCTGGCCAAATTAAGTGGCAGTTGGGGTACTTTGCAAGAGCTAGGAAAAGCAACTACTGTTTCTATGAGAACCATTATACTGCGAAGAGCTGTGGTTTCACATGCAAATGATTAATTTATGCAATGCATACGGATACAAAGCACTAAACTGAAGTACTAATCATATATGTAGTAATGCTTAATTAAAGCCTGAAGTCCTTTAGAATTAGTAGTATTCAATTTGATTTCAATTGGCTTCAGAATTTAATGAATCTTGTACTGGGCTAGCTTTGATTTCTGTTATTCAATTGAATGTGCTTGCCTTTTGAAGTTTTCAGATGGGCTGAAAGGGCTTTATAATGTTTGTTATGAACTATTTATTTTGATATTTGGCCTGTCAAAAAAGTAAGCCTTCCACCATTATTAACAGTATTAAGTACTCACAGTTGCATACCCTTGCAAATGTTATTTAATCTTGGTGAAAGTTTGGTAAAATTTCTAAAAATATATTTCGTCTCTGGATTTTGATGCAGAATGGTGGAGAATTGATCCAGAAATCGTTTAAGGTACACCGCTTGAGAATGGGATGAGAATTGGGGAAGATACAGCCATCCCTGTGGGCCCTATAGGGGAAAATCCTATTTTCAAGGGATCCCATCACGAAAAATGGACAAAAAATTTAAAAAATATTTTGTCTCAGGATTTTGATGCAGAATGGTGGAGAATTGATCCAGAAATCGTTTAAGGTACTCCGCTTGAGAATCGGATGAGAATTGGGGAAGATACAGCCATCCCTGTGGGCCCTATAGGAAAAAATCCTATTTTCAAGGGAACACCCCATTTTCAAGGGATCCCATCACGAAAAATGGACAAAAAATCTAAAAAATATTTCGTCTCAGGATTTTAATGCAGAATGGTGGAGAATCGATTTAGAAATCATTTAAGGTAATCCGATTGAGAATCGAATGAGAATTGGGGAAGATACAGCCATCCCTGTGGGCCCTATAGGGGAAAATCCTATTTTCAAAGGAACACCCCATTTTCAAGGGGTCGCATCACGTAAAATGGACAAAAAATCTAAAAAATATTTCGTCTCAGGATTTTGATGCAGAATAGTGGAGAATCGATCCAGAAATCGTTTAAGGTACTCCGCTTGAGAATCGGATGAGAATTGGGGAAGATACAGCCATCCATGTGGGCCCTATGGGGGAAAATCATATTTTCAAGGGAACACCCCATTTTCAAGTGATCCCATCACGTAAAATGGACAAAAAATCTAAAAAAAATTTCGTCTCAGGATTTTAATGCAGAATGGTGGAGAATCGATCCAGAAATCGTTTAAGGTACTCCGCTTGAGAATCGGATGAGAATTGGGGAAGATACAGCCATCCCTGTGGGCCCTATAGGGGAAAATCCTATTTTCAAAGGAACACCCCATTTTCAAGGGGTCGCATCACGTAAAATGGACAAAAAATCTAAAAAATATTTCGTCTCAGGATTTTGATGCAGAATAGTGGAGAATCGATCCAGAAATCGTTTAAGGTACTCCGCTTGAGAATCGGATGAGAATTGGGGAAGATACAGCCATCCCTGTGGGCCCTATAGGGGAAAATCATATTTTCAAGGGAACACCCCATTTTCAAGGGATCCCATCACGAAAAATGGACAAAAAATTTGGAAAATATTTTGTCTCAGGATTTTGATGCAGAATTGTGGTGAATCGATCCAGAAATCGTTTAAGGTAATCCGATTGAGAATCGGATGAGAATTGGGGAAGATACAGCCATCCCTGTGGGCCCTATAGGGGAAAATCATATTTTCAAGGGAACACCCCATTTTCAAGGGGTCGCATCACGTAAAATGGACAAAAAATCTAAAAAATATTTCGTCTCAGGATTTTGATGCAGAATAGTGGAGAATCGATCCAGAAATCGTTTAAGGTACTCCGCTTGAGAATCGGATGAGAATTGGGGAAGATACAGCCATCCCTGTGGGCCCTATAGGGGAAAATCATATTTTCAAGGGAACACCCCATTTTCAAGGGATCCCATCACGAAAAATGGACAAAAAATTTGGAAAATATTTTGTCTCAGGATTTTGATGCAGAATTGTGGTGAATCGATCCAGAAATCGTTTAAGGTAATCCGCTTGAGAATCGGATGAGAATTGGGGAAGATACAGCCATCCCTGTGGGCCCTATGGGGGAAAATCCTATTTTCAAAGGAACACCCCATTTTCAAGGGGTCGCATCACGTAAAATGGACAAAAAATCTAAAAAATATTTCGTCTCAGGATTTTGATGCAGAATTGTGGAGAATCGATCCAGAAATCGTTTAAGGTAATCCGCTTGAGAATCGGATAAGAATTGGGGAAGATATAGCGATCCCGGTGGACCCTATAGGGGAAAATAATATTTTCAAGGGAACACCCCATTTTCAAGGGGTCCCATCACGAAAAATTGAGAAAAAATCTGAAAAATATTTTGTCTCAGGATTTTGATGCAGAATGGTGGAGAATCGATCCAGAAATCGTTTAAGGTAATCCGCGTGAGAATCGGATGAGAATTGGGGAAGATACAGCCATCCCTGTGGGCCCTATTGGGGAAAATCATATTTTCAAGAGAACACCCCATTTTCAAGGGATCCCATCACGAAAAATGGACAAAAAATCTGGAAAATATTTTGTCTCAGGATTTTGATGCAGAATGGTGGAGAATCGATCCAGAAATCGTTTAAGGTAATCCGCTTGAGAATCGGATGAGAATTGGGGAAGATACAGCCATCCCTGTGGGCCCTATTGGGGAAAATCCTGTTTTCAAGGGAACACCCTATTTTCAAGGGGTCCCATCACGAAAAATGGAGAACAAATCTGAAAAATATTTTGTCTCAGGATTTTGATGCAGAATGGTGGAGAATCGATCCAGAAATCGTTTAAGGTAATCCGCTTGAGAATCGGATGAGAATTGGGGAAGATACAGCCATCCCTGTGGGCCCTATGGGGGAAAATCATATTTTCAAGGGAACACCCCATTTTCAAGGGATCCCATCACGAAAAATGGACAAAAAATCTGAAAAATATTTTGTCTCAGGATTTTGATGCAGAATTGTGGAGAATCGATCCAGAAATCGTTTAAGGTACTCCGCTTGAGAATCGGATGAGAATTGGGGAAGATATAGCCATCACGGTGGACCCTATAGGAGAAAACCCCATATTTTAGGGATCCCATCACGAAAAATGAACAAAAATCTAAAAAATGGTGGAGAATCGATATAGAAATCGTGTAAGGTACTTTGGTGGTTTATATTCCTCAGTTCCGTCCAATGTAAGCTATCCTCTCTCGTTTGGCCCTTATTTAAGCCAAAAATGGCAGAAAATAACTTTCCCCCAGCTCAAAAGCAGAACCGAAAATTCGTTTCATTTGGAGTTCCAAAATGATTCCAATTAACTGGCTGGCCGAAAAACTCATCACGCCAACCGAGAACATGCCATTTTTTTAATGGCCTTTCGCAGTAATGAGCCGCCACTCTGCCCAACTGCCAATAAGTGAGCCCGGTTATTAGTTTAATTTGGCAGAAAGTGCCATAAATCAGCGGCAAATGTGATCCCCACTTAATTGCAATACGTTTCCATTTCTCCATTGCAGAAAGCTGTCAGGGACCGCACGAGAAGCGCCTGCTGAACCACCTGCTCTCCACCTACAACACCCTGGAGCGACCCGTTGCCAATGAATCGGAGCCCCTGGAGGTCAAATTTGGTCTGACCCTGCAGCAGATCATCGACGTGGTAAGTGCCAGACCAGTTCATTCAATCAGCATTTTTCGAAACCATCATATAACCAAATATAAAACTAATTGTGAGATTACCACCCAAAAAAAAAAAAGAAATAAGCGAAATTGTGATTGCCGATGCATAAGATTTTTAACGTGAAACAGGCTAAGAATTAACAATTATTGATTGCGTCTCTTATAGGATGAAAAGAATCAGATTCTGACCACAAATGCGTGGTTAAATTTGGTAAGTGACATGTACCCGTCGTTTCAGTGTTTCATCTACACAACTAATTATTAGGCTTATGATTTTCCTTTGAGGTTATCATTTCCGTTTCCGTTTCCGTTACCGTTCCTTGGCAAGCGAAAAGCGACAAATTTTTATATAAATTTTGTACCACCACAAGAACCACAAACACGTTTTCGTTTCGTTCGTTTTCTCTGGATTTGTTTTTGGCATTTAATAATTATTGCCCCTCCGGGGGCATCTTTATCAATAAATAAATACATATTTGCATTTGCATATGTGTTGTCTCAATATGTCTGCGTGTGTGTGCGTGTCTCTCTGTATGCCAGTGTGTGTGTGTGTGTGTCAGGATATTTTTTCGTTTGTTTGTCATTTTTGACATTTTATTTAACAAAGAACCGCCGGAGACCGTTTAAAAAGCCTTTCAATTAAAAGAATATTAAAAAAGAAATGATTAAACGCCGCAAGCAAATAAAATGAAACGTAAATACCCACAATTTCAATAAATAAATCTTAATAAATAACTATTTTTGAAAAGAGAGACGTTCAAGATCTGATTAGCTTACCTTTGAGGTCGTGCACCCAAATCTTATGGCCAAGGCTATATCTCATCGCATCTAAAACTTTTGATTTACACAAATTTCATCCCGACATGATGGAGGGCAAATAACATTCTCCGGGACATGGGCAAGGGATGGTGTCCTAGGGTGGTGTCCGAAATGGCACTGCTAAATTGGCAGAAATTGCCCGGCCATACCATAAACATAAACAAATAAATCAAAACAAAGGACCCGAAAGGACATAAATAAAATTTATATTTGCGAAGCGATGGCCATTTTTTTTCAGCGCTCTGCTGGCGTGTCCGGCCCTTACCTGAAGCTCCAATTGCAATCGTTTGTAAAAGGCCAGGCCATCGAGCTGCAGACACGGGGCAGGAAAACCCTTTTCAAAAAAATTAATAGCACCTCCGCCCTCAATGGCCGCCGGCAGATTTATGTTTGTCCGTCAATTTTCGATTCCACAAAGCACGAAAAAAACAAAATGCTATTTTTCCCGACAGCTTTTGAAACAAAACTACTAATTGTTGTACCAATTAAAACGGGGAATGGCAACTTTAAGCTTGGCCATAATATTATTTCAATTGATTGCGCTGCCCGTTGACTGGCAACGTGTTTAGATGTTTTTTTTTTGTGATTTACACGAACATGATGCTCATGCATTTACATATTTTTTTGATTTTATTATAATTATATTTGAATTTTTGTTTTTCATTCGGTTTTTCACTGATTGGCAATTGCATGCAAACCGAGAATGCAAACATTCTGCATATAATTCCCCGGATACATGCGGCTGGCCGTGTGAATAAATGTGCTTAGTCGGGCAATTATATCCGCGATGGGCACAGTTGCAATGGCTAACGCCCCATAATCCGTAACGCTGCGTTTCATAATTGTATGGTTATCCCCAAAGGACGCTAAAATAATCAATTTTAAATCAAATATTTTGTTCAACAGCACACTGTACTTATTTGACAAATAAATAGTTCGATTGAATTTAAGGCGTACAAGTATGTCCAGGGGTAACCTTCGACCCGAATTAGTCTGCTCCATTAAATGCATTAATCGATTGACAAAATGATTTACAAGACTATTACTGTTTCTTCCCCACCTTCTCTGCAATTATGTTTTACTTGCATTTACATTTTGCCTATTTTGTGTGACTGTAATGGCGTTCCGAGAGATATGGAGTGGGTGTGTGTGCGATAGTGTATATGTATTCTTTATGGATTATGTTTGATATATATATTTTGCTGGGTACATGTCATAAAGCGTTCTCTGATTACATATATCTGAGTAAAAAAAAAGCAAAAGCATCAATTAAAACGCAACCAAAAACCAAAACCAAAATAAGCAAAAACAAGCAACAACTAAAATCGTGTCTTGCATGTTGTTTAAACGCAGTGCATTTAAAAAGTGAGAACTAAACATAAAAATTCCAAATCGGTGTTTTCTTTATATCCATATATCTATATACGTATACAATAAATATATATATATTGACATTTAAATGTATCTGCATATTGCGCAACACAACTAACAACCTAAACAGCAAAAATACCTACTAATAACCCAGCGATATCGTTGAAGTTGTGGCTTTAATGTGCTCCCCCCTCCCATTGTCTAATAAATAAATAATATAATTAAGGCCAAAGTCAAGCTCCACCTCTATGCTCTCACAAATCAAATGCATTTTAATTTACACTATTAAATATGAATGAAATAATTTGATTTATGCACTCACCATTCGGACAGCTCGAATTCAGGTTCGGATGGGTTGGGGGATTGGTACTCGCATCGCGTTGATTTTCCGTGGCATAAATTATAAATCGATCCGAATGGAGAGATTTATAATGCCACGAGCCACGGGCCCTGACATTTTCAGCACCGTCCGGTCCGGTCCGCTCCGGTCCGGTTCGAGTTTTGTCAATTACTCAAATGGCCGCAACTAATAATGAATGTCCTTCAAATATTCCCTCTGTGTGAGCGGGGGATTAGTGCTGGGACCGACAATTGGCAAAGTTTTGGCATCATTGCCGTCAAGGTTCTGCACGACAACGTGCTCGTGGTTAACCAAAGGTTACTCCTTCGACTCCTCCTTCTGTTCTATTTCCTTTCGGCAGCCAACAACCCGATGATGATGATAGTCCTGTCATGCAACCAAATGCCGTGCCGACAGGAGCCGGGTCGAAGGCTCCTCTGGCACGACATTAAAATGCACATTGTGGCCCGGGCGTCATCACCATCAGCATCAGCATCAGCATCAAAGTTAAGAAAAATAAAGTCATTAGCATTTTTCGGCTAACACCAAAGTGCCACTTTCCCGCCCTTGTCTAATGACTTGCCAGGTTGCAGCCAGCCACCACAAAAGCTCCCAAATGACTCGGGCCATGGTTATATGTGTCAAAAGGAAATGGCCAAAGGCCACCCACACCTTCCTACTGACAAACAAAAAGAAAAACGGATGGAAACTGCCAGCGGTCGGAGGTTACATGCTTCTATAGTGTTTAATCTCTTGTTCGGGGCGTGTCCTAGGTCGGAAGTCAGAAATCGAAATCTAATGCAGATTATTTAGCAATCTGCGTAGAAATGTCCTTTCGGTTCAGCCACTTTTGTGGAAAAATAGATTTAAATTCAGCAATTACCATTCGAAGTTCAGGAAAGCCATTAAATAGGGCTCCGCCATTAATGACATTTAAAGTCCAAAGCTTTGGGAAAAAATATCCCATTATGGATAAAGGTTTTAAAACGTTGATGTTAATTCATAAAAAAAAAACCTATTTGATTAAAGATTTAAAAATCAATCAATAACATCCATAAATATATAAAGGTTGTTCCAAAGTTCTGTTTACCTTTCCTCACGCAGAAAGTTGACACTGCCTCTTTCATAGCATACTTTTGAGGGCAAGTCAAAGATCACGCTCGAGATGGAGTCAAATCTATTAGCATTATCCATTGATACGTTCTAAGCACCCCTAAAAACCATTATAAACACACTTTCGCCGAAAAATATTACTTCGCTAACAGCGGCCCAAGTTCGACAGAGTCATTTGCCAGCGCTGAGCAAACTGCTCGGCTCACTTATCACCCACTCATTTGTCTCGACTCTGGCAAAATACACACACAAGAGCTGAAGGACTCCGGGATGAAGGATATGGGATATGGGATCTGAGTGCTGCCAAGGCCAACAAACTTTGTCCTTGAACAACAGTGGCGATGTTAGTCTACTCTCGCCTCTCCGGCTCATGTGCATAACCCATTTATATGGCAAGGAGCTAACTTTGCCAAAAACATTCATTCATCACAGGCGAGCTGGGTGACTACAAAGGGAATCGAGGAGCTGGTGGCGCAGGGCAGGATGCTAGAGGGGAATCGAGTGCCTGAAATCTGAAATCTGGATTGTTGTAACTACAGACGACAACGGCAATTGTTGGCTCATTAGAAACTCATTTAAAAACAATTTGGCACGTTAATGCAAAATAAATCTATAAGCTTATGCAGGCTGCTCTGCCACACGCTCTCGTTCTCGTCTGGCCGTAAATGTATCTGTATCTGAGCAGACGTGTCCCAGTCACGATTAAGGCGAAAGCTTAATGCAGATGCGGAGTCTGTTGCAAATGATGCTTTAAAGTTGTTCCGAAAAAAAGAAGAAGGAAAAACGCAAAACGGGGGCAGAGTGTCATTAGTATGCGTCAATGTCAGGGGCTCACATCCTGCCTGGGGCGGGCGTCATGTCATAAACATGAAATTTGCACAAAACCGCCATTTTTATAAGGTGTCAACGGCAAATATCTTGGTGCAAAAACACCAACACACGCGCAACCCACTCCCACACATTCAAATGTTGCTGTTGCGGAGCGGGAAACGGAAATGCCTGCATATTGGCTTAAACGAAAATGCCAGCCGAGCAGGAGAGCGGAAGGACTTTGGGCTGTGGGTGTGTCGGGGTGTTGAAATATCAGATAGCTGGAATGCTGAGCAGAAATCATCCAGGTCACCAGAACAGCCTCTGGCCATGGGAGCTGCATATCATTATGGTAGCACTACGCCCCCTGAATCTTTTTAATGGCTCAAGTCGTTACTGCAGCTGCCACTCTTTGCGGCTTTTTTCGGGTTTTCTGTTATTTTTTGTGGCTTTTGGTAACAACTCGAAGTTTTTCGTATTTTTGTTTATACTCGAAAGTTATTAATGGCAGTCACCTAACAGATAGGGGGCAGAGTAGGGGTGGAGAGCCTTTCACATGCAGATCGGATGGGATGTTCATCTGCATTTCAAACGGATTTCCTCGTTGACCACCTTGAACCCATCATCCGGAATCTGGATAGCTCCAGTGACAATACGCCGGCATGAAATATCTTTAATTAAAATTTTGTATAAAGATAAATGGGTTTTGATACCTAGTTCAAAGTTTTTATTGCACAGCAGTAGATGTATTCCGCCCTCACAGATACAGACACAGAGACAGAGAGACAGGCCGATAAGATTGTAAAGTAAATTGGCGCAATGGACAAAGGCTCTGAAGGACGGCCGACCAGCAGAATTGAAATTGAACAGAAGGAGATTGGGATTGAGATTGAGATTGGGCTGCAAGGCTGGAGCTTGGCTCAAAGCAGCTGGTCTTGGCCAGCAAAGTTTTTGATAGCATTTCATTTGGCTTACATTTGGTCTCGTTGTGCAAATTGAGTGACGATGATGGTAAGCGGGGCTTCTTAATTGCCACAGACCCCTCGTATATGTTCTTAAATTGGAGCACATTAAAGCCACTTTGATTTTTCAGCTAAAGGAGCTGTCCTTAAGCTTATACATAAACGTTATAAAAACAGATGCTTTAAATAAATGTAACAAGAACCAAAAAAAAAAAATAGAAAAAAAATGAAAAAACAAAAAGAAAACCTTGTAAAACTCATAAACTAAATGTATAAACCAAAACTTTCTTTTATCGTGCTCTGCTCTTTTTAAACTTTTGACTTCAATTAATTTTTATGCTTTTCCTTGCGTCTCACTATTACTTTAAATTACTCGTCTTGCTTTGAATTTGATTTCCTTAATTTGTTTGGCGTTGACAACAAACAAACAACCAAAATTCGTTCCAAATGCGTTTGTAGGACGAGAAGAATCAGCTTCTCATAACGAATCTTTGGCTTTCGTTGGTAAGTCTAAAGTAAAACTCGCCACATCATAAAAATCATAAACCTAATCCCCCAAAACTAAATCCCAACCAATAGCTTAAAACGTATTTTAAATAATGTGTAATCGCTTTAAACCTTAAATTCATAAATCAAACATTGCGGACTCTTTTTGTCTCGACTCGGCAGCTAGTGTTTGTTTATATATATCTACTATATCTACTATACCCCTTTATCTCGTAGTACTTTCGGCCGATTTCGGGCCAAGAAGAGTCCAGCTTGATCATAATTTAAACACACACGGCCCAAACCTCTATTTACCAAAAAGAGTTGATCTATTTCTCGTTCGTTGTTCAAAGAGTTAATATAATACCCGAACTTCTAAAACCCAAAAACTCTATTGTACAAAACGCTTCATATCTCTATGAATCCTCTACTTTCCCTTCTATATCTCCGGTTGAGATTCGTAATGGCTTAGCTCGTGTGTGCGTTAAATTATTCTAAATAATCATTCATCATTTAAAATTATATCCCTAAATATGAGCTTAAATAGTACTTTAAATTTGCTTACTTAAATACGAAACCACATATCCACAGACACGGCTGAATAAACTTTGATTTCCGCTATTTCCTTTTATTCTCTTTGAATTTATAACTTTTCTACAATAGATGTCAACAATGGCAGCTCGTTTTTTTCCAGCGAGTAACCCTTTTTTGAGAAACCTTTTTATTTAGAGCTCGTCTCCGAGTTAGTTTCATTTTCTTTTTCTACTGAGAGCAACTAAAAACCAGACACAACTAAACCAAAACCAAGAAAAAAACACTACTCTAAAATATACCTAAATCCTGCACAGAAAAACACATAAATGCATGCTAACGAGATCGCATCGTGTAATAAGCCTCTAACATTATTAGTACAGCATGTCCTTAGTTTTTATTTCATTTTCTGAGAGTGTGTGTGTGTGTATGTGACAGCGCTTATCTTTTTTTCTGCCTCGTGAAAAGGATATGTTTTCAGCAGGAAAATCGAAAATCAGAGGACGGAAATGCAAGAGCAGAAATTCACGCGATTTTTTTATATTCATTACTATGGGATTTATTTCCGGCATCAGCCCTCGTCAAGATCTGTCAATTTGGGAAATTAATTAAATTATTTATTTAACAGGTTTTAAAGGTCAGCAGTCAACGCAGCCCTGAATAGTCTATTTAGTTATTTTGAAATAGCAATCACGGAAAAAGTAGATGACTGCAAAATTGTGCAAAATTTATGATTGATGGTTTCGTCCTGAGTTCTGCGTTCGACTGCGTTTATAAACTGTCCGCATCCACATTTCCAAATGGTGTTCAAATGTTTGTCAATTTGCCACTCTTAACCACAGACAGGCTGTTTGGCAGTGGAATTGCAAATGCCAGCCCGTTCTTCCAGCCAACCGATTGTAGTTCTGCTCGACGGCCCAATTATGCCGTCAAATAGCAATTAAAACCGATAAATGAACACCAAAAACCATCTGGACCAAAAACGCGGACAGCCGGCCGGCCAAATGGCAAAAAGCCACTACTATCGTTCACTATCGACTTTTATTATTGCCTTTTTTTCGACTGAAAGTATAAAGATTGAAAGGTCCATTAGCTTTATTCTTTGGAGATACAATTTAAATCAAAATTATTCAATTAAACATGCAAAATCAGACAAAACTGTTTGATAGCCTGCCATCACTTAAAAGCGTAATAGCATGTGCTATAAAGACGGTGCTATATTTGGTGGCATTAGGGTACTTTATAACTGGATAATGGTCCCACTTCCTAGAAGTTTAGTCACACAAAACAGACGGTTAGCGTCGCGGAAACTATTCCGCAAAATAATTGCCGCACTCGCATCAAAATCTGTGTCCTTCCGTCGCTGTAGCCACCGCTGCCGCCACTACAGCGGCCACACACAAAGCTGGGCGAAATGTTTTTAGGATCATGGAGGATGCTACATGCCTCACCTCAAAATGGGTCCCTTTCAGTCGAGGAGGTATCTGTTTTTACAGCTGTCATAAAAACCGCACACAATAACGTGGCAGTTGCAAAGTTTAAACTGTTTTAAAGCAGAGCCGGGCCGGGCCGGAGCAGCACAGATGCAGATACTCAGGCCAACTCGTATAATTTAATGCAGCACGAGGCCATGGCATGTAATTAAATTTTTGTGATTTAAAAAAGGGATTGTTGTTGGCAGAGCTTCCGGAGGCGGCAGCCGGCCTGTGTTGTGGAGCCTGTGGGGACGTCAGGGGTCGGCAAGGACAATTGCTTGCTCTAAAAATGCCACAAATGTGTTAAATTATAAACAAAACAACAACAGCAATAGAAGGAACATGAGCCCTGGCAAAGGCAAAACTAAGTAGAGGGGAAACTTTGCCGCTTTTATGACACGAACATGAACCACTTGTAGGAAAGCCACAAAACGCAGCGGCCAGGGGGAAATTCAGGACGTGGGGCAGAATCGCGTTGCAGGCAACCGCAGAGTGACACAAAGCACTAAGCAACTGTTTGAGTACACTATAAGAATTGAAAAAATATAATATATATTATGAAATATACAGGTCATTACAAGAAAGTCAGATATGCCAGCTTAGGAATTTATAAGAAAACCAGGACCTTTTTTCCAGACTTAATCTGAACTGGCACAAATTCTATAATATCCAAACTATTTAAAAATTTTCTATTACCTTTTTTAGCATATTTTCTTCAAGTGTAAGTACAAAGTAGGATCAGAAAAGAGCAAACGAGAAACGTTGATAAAACTTGTCTCATGTGCGGTTCAGCAGGCGAACGTGGGTGGGCTGACTTAACTTGAAATTGTCGTCAAGTTGCACATTGTTGCATAATGCATTCAGGGTGTATCTGAGTGCATGGGTGTGTGTGTGTGTGTTTGTTTTTCGTGCTTATATGTGCAACAGCTTGCCAATCAGTTAGCAGAGCGATATGGCCATCTTTTTTTTCCAGACTTAGACTTAGTGCGTAACCATAGATAGATGGTAGAGTCGGTAGAGTTGCATGACTCTGTGTGTAGTCGTACATGTGCATGTGCTCAGCAGTTGAGTAGATTTCATTTTGAGACCTTACTTTCTTTCCAACTTACTTTCATATCCTCCTTGCCCCAGAAAATGCAATTTCTTTTCGAAAAAACACATCACGTCGCATTTTAAGTTGAGTTCTTAGACATTTTATTTGAATAGCATTTTACCAAAAAAAGTGATCAAATATCACAAAGCTTTGCATTCAAAATTTAATAAAATCGTATCGCAATGCAGGAGTGGAACGACTACAATCTGCGCTGGAACGAGACCGAGTATGGCGGAGTCAAGGACCTGCGGATCACGCCCAACAAGCTGTGGAAGCCCGACGTGCTCATGTACAACAGGTAAGTGGTCTGTCGCCGCTCCGGCCGGACTTGGCTCTAATCCAATAGAAAGGCTATCGCAGCCCCCCAATGAATCAATGAAACTAATCTGAGAATCAGTATAAAGTGTTTGCGCAATACCCATACAATAATACCGGCCACAGCCTTATGTCTGGGCGTAGGGTCGTATAACTCACAATTACCTAAACCAGTAATCACTGTATTTAGTTGAACAACGGTAAGTTAGGCTGACCAAACCACAAATAGCAACGAAATCCCAATAAAGTTTACCGGGTCCTTTCAAAGGATCTCCCAAAGGACCATTTTTTTATCGTTTCGTTTGCGTTTCGTTATAGTTATAGTTTACTTAATAATAGTAGATGCATTGTGCACTTTAGTTGATTAAAGTTAGATTATTAGATAATCATTAGGGTTACGGGAATGTTGCCAAAGATTCTATCTGGTTACCTCCATTTCGAACCAGATAACTATTTTGCAACAATCTCGATAAAGTTACTTTGTATGCCCCTTGTTTGTATTATTCGATTTGAGTTGATTTTTGAATTAAAAGCGCTAACCCCAAAAGCATATTTGATCTATAAGTTCATACCCATGCCCATCATTATATAAATATGTAGATGTTATAAACGCATCATAATCCACTCGCTATTGTTTGTGTGTCTATTTGTAAACAGATAAAAATAACAAATAGGAAAATCGAACCAGCCGCAAGTCAAACATAAAATTATGTTTTCGATTCGGTGGCTAAACTCGACTTTTCCAACCCGTACATTATATGATATTTGTGTTTCAATGTTACCCACTTATTATTTGCTTTCAATGTTTATGTTTCAACGAGTGACTTTAACCAAAAACAAAACAAAAAAAAAAATTGTTAAGGAAAACAAACAAAAACAAAAAAAAAAGAAATATAACCAGAATAATTTACATTTTGTTTACTTCAATAAGAGTAGTTTACACGCAGTGGTTGTCTAGTGGGACTGTACATTGTCAGCTTGCCGTTGATGTGGGCCTCACATTGTAATTGGATTCGTAATGCTAACCGAACGTTGTATAACACAAGAAATGCCTGAGTTATCCAGCATTGACTTAAACCAAAAGCCATCAAACCATAAATGCGAACTAAACCTAAAATAAAGACAAACTAACGCAAACCAAACTAAATAATCTCCTAGACTAAACTCCAAAGAACTTAAACTTTGTTTAACCAGAATATTGCGCAAGTAGTTTGTTCGTAACATCACGGGTCAAATTTCCCATCAAAATAAAGAACCGAGTGGAGTCAGCAGTCTGACGTCTGTGGTCTGATTTCCAGTCAAAGACTCGCCCCGTGACTTTACCTTTGAAAAAGAATAAAATGAGAAATGTTACAAGTCCTTGCCGCCCCCATTTCCGAAAAGACAATAACCACCGCGGAAATTGTTCAACAATATGCTGGTGTAATATTTCTGGTTAAACGTTCAGTACTTGAATTTATTTGGCCAATAAGAAACAGTAAAGAAATCATTTAAATGAAAAATGAAAACGAAACGAAAAATGTTTTTTGTCATTCTCATACGTAGCTTGCAAAAAACAGTACAAGATTCATCAAAAACATCACAGAAACGGCAAAATAGATTTTCAAGTATTGTGCATGAGAAATCAAATCCCTCTTGCTAAACAAAAGACTAAATAAAAACGCATAAAAATAAAACCAAATGCAAATATTTTTACCCTAAATCCTCCACCTCATCCCAGCAGAGTGCTATTCAGACTCTCACTTTGCAAAAATACCCAAAATCCACAGAAAAATTAACCCATTTCCCTCCTCCAAACATACACACAACCAACACAAATAAAGTAAAAACTATTTACCCAAACTTAAAGCTAAATAAATAGATAATTCCATTTACATCAACTTAAGCTAAACCTAAATACGCTCAACTAAACCAAAAACTTAGCTAGGCTAGCTAAGCAAAACCATCAAGTTAATCTTAATGTTAAACCAAAATGCACCAAAAATATATACTCACCCGAAAATAAATCACAGGAGACCCCAACCAATAGTCATTTAAATTCACAAAGCCATCAAGGGTACTCTAATTCTAAATTTTAATACTAATAAACTCGGCTGGCCGAGAATTCGAGCCACTTTCCTTAAGAGCCAAAGTCAGATTACTAAAAAATAAATTTTTGTCCGCTCCGATGTAGTTTATTTGGAAATAGTGTCTGTAACTTTTTGTTTAAACATATTCTGCAAAAGTTTTTTCCCAAAATTGCTGCCCTAATCTTTTTGTTAATTAAACTTGCACCTTAAAAGTCATGAAGATTCCTAAAAGTTTTCCAAGAAGTTGGGAAAAGCTTCCGACTGAGACCCTTTATGTGTTTACTTTTATTTTTAAGAAAGCTTTTTGAAAAGATTTTAAGGAAAGGTCAGCTCGAAGTACAATATTAAATGCCAAATATAATGCTTAAAAAATCTAAAGAAACAACCATATATGTATTGTCAAAATTTTATTCATTCAATGTTAGTCTATATGTCCAACAAGTTAATCTAGAGGTGTGAGTGTGTGTGTGTCTGCTTTTAGAAATCCAACAACTAAACAGCTTCGCTTCATACGCCCTGTTGGCCAAATATTAATCATACGCCCCGTAGTCACAATATGAGTATTAATTTTGGTTTTCGACCAGTTTCTTAATACATCCTAAAGAAACAAGTCCCAAAATCAAAAGTAAAGTAATATTGTCTTCAATAATTGCCATTTCATATCCCATTTAACCAATTTCAATTTCATTCGCTTTTGAAAACATCCGAGTGCTTGTGTGCGAGAATTGCAATCACCAAAGTAATCAATTGTGTTCGGTGTGTGCTATATCTAATGTTCATTCTAGTTATTTGTTCACTGTTTTCCTAACCAACAATAATACGTATTAATCAGCTCATGTTCCTCGGTGTGTCCAGTTGTAATCATCATCTCACCACTCCTGCCCACAAATATTTCTGTTTACTAACCGATAACTATATGATATACATATATATAGCGATTGCTGTCTGTTCTCATTGTGTTTTACTGTCTAAACTACCCACATACTATATATATTATATATATGCCTAACCCCTATCTATATCTATCTATATCCATATCTATATTCCGATATAATTCTTTGTGTGTGCGTGTACATTGATGTGTCAATTGCCAGGCATTGGGGAATCATTGCCATAGCCATTAAGTCTGTGTAAGTTAGCCTAAGTATACGTATAAGTCCCTGCATGTACTCCCTAGTCCTCCCTCCATGTCTAAGCTGTAAGACCGCAGATCCAGATACAACTAATGAAGCTGCAGAACCGTGTTTGTGGTGTGCAATGTGTGCATAGATAAATGACTTCAAGGGGATCACTCCATTTCGGTGAATTTATATCTCATCCAGCTTTTTTTTCCACCCACGGAACTATCTGCCAGATACCCGTAAAAAATGCTTTCCCAGGTGCTTATTCAGAATGCGATTCCGACCAGCGCTGGCTAAATCCTTTCTGGGAGGCTGGCCAACAAAAAAAAAGAAAAAAGGAGTGAGTGAGCAGCCAAATCCGTGTTCACACAAAGGGGCTTAAACATTTTAAGCCATAACTTAAACGTCAAAATTTGTTTCCATATCCCCTGGCCATTTTGCGACTAAAACAAGTTAAATACCTGCAAGTCCCTTAAGGCTGCGAAAAAAACTCTGTCCCGGCACTAACTTGGCTCTCAAATGAAGACAAACTACGGAGTAGACTTCGGGGCCGGATACAAATGCACCTGCTGCATTTGCCGAGCTAATTGCAATTTATATTTGCCACTGCAACGCAACGGAGCGAAGCTTATTTAACCTAATGGGTGGGACACTGGCACACACTACCACCACGCCCACATGTGGAGACGGGGACACACGTGCAACATTTTACGGTTGATTGACGCTCGGGGAGGCGCAGTGTCCTGCGGCAAATGGAATTTACATGTCACCCGGGGGCACCCAGGTTCCGGGCAAACAAAAAAGCCCAGCCCGAAACAATGAATCAAAACACGTACGTTGCAGGTTTAATTTCCACGGCACGCAGCATCCGGCGCTGATTTCGTACGAATTCTGTGAAAGGGAAGATGGTTCCAGAAGGTGGCCGAAAACCAAGAGACCAAAAGAAACAGCATGGCCAAGAACAAAGGACTAGGCTGGAAATAAAAATCATATTGATTAGCCGAGCAGTCGTCCGGGGAAATCAGTAGATGGCCAAGGAGCCACTGGGCGTGGCCCTCGTTTCCCACTTCCCATGGAGAAACCTTTTGGCTGTCAACTTTGTTTGCTAATGAACTTGAGCAGAGGCCAGGGTTCGTGTCCAAGACACTCGCAACTTGTTCCCAATCGGAGTTTTTCTTCCATTTCGCAGGCGTATTTTCTAGATTTTTTTTCCTGCCAGAAGAGACCGTCAGACTTTTATTTCGTTTAATTTATTAATTCTTTTCTGTTCGAGGCTGGTCGGGCTGGGCCTGGCTTAATTTGTATGCGTCGCCAACCCTGCTAATGTGCGGCCATCATTTAGATCAATAGAGGCAGACACTCACAGATACATTCCGAGCAACAGAAACAGATACAGATACACAAAGAGCTAAAGATAAAGATACAAGGCCCGGCTCATTACGAATGTTGGCTTTCCCTTTGTGCCATTTACTTATGCTGATTTTGGCCACGGATTGGCATTCCTTTCACGTTGTTTAATTGAGAGGCCGGGCAGCCTTAAACCGCCAATGCCAGGCCGGAAGGGAAAGCTTTCACTCTAATTGCAGCATTATCGGCCACGTTCTTTAAAAAGCTTCAAAAGTCAGGCCGCAGACCGAACGAAACTGACAGAGGTCTTGACTAAGATGTAAAGCCTTCTCTGGCCCCAAAAATCCGAATCCGAATCCAGGCGAGACCAACGTCAATATTAATAAGGGCAGTGGGTACCGGGCAGCGAGTTCCTCTCTGGTATCAAGGCCGTAAAAAAAAAGATAACCAAATATTTCAATTTTGGAAATTAAAATGATGTTAAATGCGGCCAAGGGTGTGATGAGGGTTTGGCCTTCTCAGACCCAAGGGATTGACAGGCCAATCACGATTATATATGGATGTACCTGCCATGTGTGTGATTCTGTTTCAACATATTCGCTTTACAAAGTCCTTCTCGCACCTGCAATATCAATTAACCGGAATACGCCGCAATACATATTATGTCCTGGCAAAAAGCCCCCTGGCCGCAATCTCTTAAGCCCGAGTGGGCAACATCTGCGCTTCGGTTGAGGTTCTGGGTGTGGGCATCGGTTTGGGCTTGACCGGCCGCTAATCAGGGGCCAAATACCACTTAAGTGCCACGGCTGTTGCACATCAGCCCCGAATGCCATGGGTTCGAGGACCACACTCCATCGCAGGGCTGCCCTGTCATTCCGTATTTCACTCTGGAATCCCCTTCATGTCATTGCCTCTTTGCGGTGACCGAAAAATGCAAAAATAAAATTGTCCACAAAATGTTTACGCAACATTCTCGGTGCTCGAATCGAAATCAGAGCTGTAATTGCATTTTATTGCAGCATTTTGAGGGCAAGACCAAAGTCAAGAGACACTCATACATAATGTAAGCAAATATATACGTATGGTATGTGCTCCCGATGGGATTATACTATACATACATCAAGGCGGAGACTCTGGCATTCAAATGGTGGTTCACATTTTCGGAGTAGTATCCCCGCCCAGCCCGGAGTTCATTTGCATATGCACATATTGGTAGCTGCCACAAACTGGATACAAAGATACTCGGGCAGCAAAGATATTTGTATCTGGGCAGCCGCAGATTGCCACTGCCGTTTAGTGTGTTTAGTGGCGAGGGCGAGGCAATAGGAATTCCGTACGGGTCATCAAATGCCGGTTGGCTGGATACATTACATTACAGTAAATACCCCCTGGGAGAGACCACACCACACAAATGCCTGTTAAATTTAAGTAAATCTAGCGATATTAAGTCTACCCCCATAGAGGTAGAGAACCAGAAACCCATGCAACCTAGTCCGTAAGACCAAAAAGAACACAACACACACTGAATCCCCCTTTGATTCCCAGAGTAGTGACATTTACCTAGAAATCCCCAGAAACAAAAAACATTTTAAGAAGAAAATGACAAATGACCTTTGACAAAGCGCAAGTCACATATACTTAGTATATATTTTATAATGAAACCCAATAAAAGATCAACTGACAAAAGCGATAACTGAAAAGTAAACCAAACTGATAACCAATTAACTGAATTGATTAATAAGCTGATAATCGAATAACAATCAATGGAACAACCCAATAATCGATTAAAACAAATTGTACAATAATCTAGCGCGGATGAGGGATTCGATGGCACGTATCACACCAACATTGTGGTCAAACATAACGGCAGTTGTCTGTACGTGCCCCCTGGTATCTTCAAGAGCACATGCAAGATAGACATCACGTGGTTCCCATTTGATGACCAACATTGCGAAATGAAATTCGGTAGTTGGACTTACGATGGAAATCAGGTAAAGTGCAAAAGCAATCGACAAACAAAACAACAAAAAACACTCGCCAAGCTAACAAATAAGATACCAAGCAGCGAAATAGCTCGATAGAACAGTAAGCGCTGGCTACACACACTAGGCAACACCCATCCATCACCCACACTAACACCAATACTAACACCACAACACCCAAATAAACTCGAATAACACTCAAACTCAACAGCACGATCACGCTTCTGCCAATCACGAGACTCACGCACCAGGAACGAGAGGGAATCGAATCGATTCGAAAGGGAGTTGACTTCGTCGAGAGCTGACTGTAGCGATAGGTGATTAGTGATAGAATAGGTTTTATTTGACGAAAATATGTCCAGGATTTGTGATTATGCTTTTATATGCTTTTCCAAACTTCTATCTCTCTCTCTCACTATCTTTCTATCTCTATCTACCCGAATCTATGTTCTAGTTTTTAAAATCTCATCACGAACAATTCTTTGCGTTTTTGCGAATTACAAAACCAAAAGATCGCAGTGCCGCTAACAGCACTGAACTGTAAACAGGTCCTGTGTGTTGGCTAAAATATTCAAATCAGGCCCCAGGTCCTGGCAATTGAATATTTTAAGCCAACACATGAACACAGAAGGAGCTATGGCTCTCGTAGGTTGTCTCCCAAAATGGAATCATGTGTGGAAACTATAGGGTCTGGCCCCCAGCAGAGAACTTACTTCTCGAGTTTCTACTATTTTGCATGGTAGCAGGCTAAAACCACGCCCAAAGCAAATCAGCAACAGGCGAAGTTTTTTGGACGACGTAAAGACTCTTAATGAAAGTCAAACAAAAGTATTACAGAGAAACTAATTAAATAACAATGATGAAGGATGTTTTGAGTACAAACCTAAGTTGCAGCGCTTTTATTTCCCACGTACTTTGCACCCACAACAAATAAATGAATAAAAAATACAAATATTTTTTGAAAAAACTATTCAAATGAAAAAGAAAAACTATATTTTTTTTGCTCGCTCGCTCTCTATCTCTCTCTCTACTTCTCTCTCTTTCGTACACCTCGAACACATGCTATATCTGTACATAAATGTTGTTTCAATGTGGCTTTTTGTAAAATCTCTCAAATTTTTCAACAACAAACTAAAATCTTAAATGTTCTTTTTCTCCAATATATAAAAAAAACAAATACCAAAAACTCAAAACTCAACCACCAAAAAAAAAATATATATGATATTATGTAAAAATTAATTTGCCAATGGTAAATTAATTTCCATTCTGTATGAATACCCTATACAAAATATTAACATTATAAAAAAATCAGTTGGATTTGGTTTTGAATTCCGAAGATGGAGGGGATCTTTCCGATTTCATAACAAATGGCGAGTGGTACTTGCTTGGTTAGTAAACAAACCTCATTACGCTTATTCCTCTAACTGTTATTTCGTTTAATCGTTGTCATTTGTAAATTGTCTAAACCGCATTATCTCAAACTCAAAAAAATATATATTTTATAAGCTTTTTATTTAAAACCCATTGCTTGCAAAACTGAAAAAATGGCTTCATAGACCGTTATTATTTGCTTAGCTTTTTTATTTCTTTGACATAGTTTTATAATTAATTTGTACATACTTTAGATATCGATCTGTAAAAATCTATTGTACATAATATATGTGTCTTTGTGTCTGTACATATCGTCTATGTTTGTGCCTCTGTCTCGATCCCTGACATATCCTTGCTCGATGATCACTAATCCGAGAATTCTTATCGTCCAGCCATGCCGGGAAAGAAGAATACGATAGTCTACGCCTGCTGCCCAGAACCATATGTCGATATCACCTTTACTATACAAATACGTCGCCGTACATTATATTATTTTTTCAATTTAATCGTGCCATGTGTGCTAATCTCATCGATGGCCCTCTTGGGCTTCACATTGCCGCCGGACTCGGGCGAGAAGCTGACGCTGGGTGAGTATTCGAGAACCGAGTTCCCCTTTCCGAGTTACTTTTTTTGCAGACACAGTACCACGTAACATACCAACTGATCTGAACTGAATATTGTCCAATATATATAAATGTGTTTTGTGAGTTTTTTCAGCGGTGATTGCCCATGTCCCAAGTCCGGAGTTCGAATCCGTCCAAAACCAAACCAAATGCATAGATGTCTCAGAGTTAGAGTTAGTTAGGCCCAAGTCCAGCAGGTTATCGATGAGGTCATGTGCAGCGAAGGTAGCGAAATGAGGCTTAGCTGGATTTAATTACAAAATACGAGTAAACTCCCCAATGAAAAAAAATAAACAAAACCAAACCTCCCTTTAAAATCTTTATAATCAACGCTGCTTTTAAACAAAATAGTCAATCTATGCATGTTCTTTGTTCAATTAATTAACTAAAGTAAACTTAATTTAAAGATCAGTGAGGGTGTTCCTTTTGAGAAGAGCTTTTCACTTTTCAAAAGGAAAACACTTGTTTTCTAAAAACTAAATCAAAAGTCCCACTTGTCCCGTGCCAAGACGAAATAAAACCCCTTTTATAAACTCCATGAACAAATCCCCATAAAGGAACTAAACCGTAACCTAAATCTGATGAGTAAAATGTGTAAAAGTTATGTTAATTTTTCAATAAAAAAAACCAAAATAATAATAAGTCTGATTATGTAAACTTGATCTTTCAGTTTTCCCGATGTTTTTGCGTTGAACTTTGATTTAAATTGCGTTTTATATTTATTGTATCTCTTGTTGCAGGCGTAACTATACTACTATCATTAACAGTATTTCTTAACCTTGTCGCCGAGTCAATGCCGACAACGTCGGACGCTGTTCCTCTTATAGGTACACACACACGCTAATTAACCCGCCTAAAGCCTAAAGTATAGCCTAAAGTGGGATTGGATCGGATCCGATCTGGTCCACGATACCACTTAACAGTGCCAATACAGAAGTCGTGCTGTGCTAATGCTGTTTTTAGTTATCATTAGTTTGCTACAGTAGTGCAATGAACTGACAAACCAACTATCAAAAACGAAACCAAATACAAGCCACTAATACTAACCGAGAAACTGATCAGAAAGAAACTAAATACCGATACCGATACGAAATACCAATTAGCTTAGCTCTCAACACTTCTGTAACTGTCCTCCCAATCACACCCCAAAAAGAACACTCGAACACCTCCACACGAATGAGGAATGATCAATAATAGCTCCCAACTCTACAATAATATATGTTTGCCACTAGTTCTAATTAAGTCTCTCTGTGTACTACTCTATCTGGACTCTCACCTCGTGTGCCACCATCGATCAACTGGATGTTGGATAGACTAGACACTACTATACTTTATATCTTCCAGAACTTCCCAGTCAAGCCAGAGTCACTCCTAATACTGGATCTACTTTCTATCGTTTTCCAACTAACCTTAGTCCTTGGTCTTGCCAGTCTTTACTACTTTACTCACTACTTCACTACTAGCCTTAAGGTGTATCCTCCCCTCAGAAAGCTCTGACATAATTGGTATTTGACCTCACGACAAAAACACAATCGCCACAGCCCAATCACAATCACAGTTCACAATCAAACACAACGTACTACGTACAAATACAAATTACAATTACAATTACAAGAGTTTTTCGTTTCGATTTTGCTGTGTTTGCCCATAAAGCCGACCTATATAATCTCAATCTGAAACTGAATCTGAGTCTGTTCTTGAGTTATTTTCGTCGTTTGGTTGTTGCTTCGTTTGTTTGTTTGTTTGTTGGAATTCGTTTATCTACGTGTGCCTCTAGATGAAACCTTTTATTTTGTCCTTCGATCGTATCGTTTTGTTGGTCTCTTTTAAGTTCCTTACCTAGCCTGCCAAACCTCATTATATAATATATATATATGATATATATATCTTAATATATATGAATAAAACGGAACCGAGTAACCCGATCATCCTGTAAATACGCTTGTCCTTAGAGTGTGCTCGCCTCATAATCACGCCGGGACGAGTCCAACCCCACTACTCATTAACCTCCAACCCTTCCTCCTCGTCTAATCATCCCAACTATAAAAGCATAGCAGCATTTCAAAAACCGCATCAGAAACGTAGACAGAAATGCAATTAAAGAAAATGTATTTTAAATCTAGCCACAACTGTATATATACACGAATCTCTAAAAAGAAAAACCATAAAAAATCCAACGAACCACCTTTTTTCGCTACCAGGAGATACAGAAACAGGATGAAAAAAAAAAATCCAAGCCAAAAAGAAACAGTAGTCGAGAAACAAAAACCAACTAACTAACTTACAAAAAAGCACAACAGCTGAGTTAACGAGTTTTTTAGTTTCCCTTCTTTTTTTTGGAAACAGTCCGACAAAAAACATCAACAAAACCATAAATAGAACAACAGGGGAAGTGTGGTGGAGAATTGTGGTGCGATTGAGCTCGACGGCTTGCCATCCGCATATCTGAGGTCAGGAATGTAAAGCGCCAAAGGACTTGTGCTTACATTCAAGACCAGAATAGTTTCTGCGGGTGCTTGTCCTCGAAATCGAGCTCAGAATCGAATGCCAATTTCCAATTGACACTTTCCACCGAAATACCCATCGAAATACTTGACATGTAGTTAGTGAACAGTAGCTGCCAGCTGATACTTGGCTTGATAGAGAGTAGGCCTAATAGCTAGGATCAGGACACCATTATATCTGTAATGTGAACTCCCCAAGCACACGAATGTCATAAATGTAGAGGTCCTTCGGTAGGTATAGCATATCCAAACCAGTTTAAAACGCTTGGCTGTACAAACGAGCCTCTGGGCTGCCCAGCTAACTTAGCATCTTTATTAACCATATGACTATATATATATATATTTCGACACCGATCACCCACAAATACCGAACACTGTAAATAGACAACACGCCGAACAGACGTAAGTACACCAGTACCACCCCCACCCACTTCAACCACCTGAACCCACCGAACCACCCAACCGAGAACAATCCAACACCACTGATATCCCCCCCTCCGAAAGGACAACCAGAACTTTTGTCCAACGTCGCCAACACGAGCGCATGCCAATCGAACAAAACCAAAAAAAAATGAGGCTGAAACCGAAAGCAAGCCAAAGCTTAACACCTTCTCAAATCTACTATCTTTAACCCTCTGTGTCTATCTCTCAGTAAAAGTATTTATATAAATTTATGAATCTCAGTATCTCTCCTTCTCGCCTCGGCAAGAACTATTTGAACTTGCACATACTTACTCGCAAGAAACGAATCGAATTCTCACACCAACCAACCAATCAATCAATCAATCTTTTCCCAATAACCCACTAACAACACCAAAATAATTTAGCTTTTCTTGCTCAAAAACCTCAAAATGTACAAGAATATAAAAAATCGCAAAAAAAAACCAGTCATTTGCAAACCCGTAAACTCCTGGCATTTAAACAGAACCCCACGAACCATATCTACTATATAGAACCATAGCGCTAAACGAATCTCCATTTAAACGATAAAAACCCTAAATCAAAAAACCGAAATCGAAGCAACATTTGAACTTGCATTTATGCAGATCCATTTGATCAGATGGTAGAGTTGCAACTCCACATAATATCGTATCGTTCATGATGTCGAGCCCATCATGCGTTCATATTATGTCATATATCTATATATATATTAACCCGATTCCAATACCGATTATAACAAACCCATAACCATAACCCGCTTTCAACGACGACCCCCCAAGGATTTTGACAAATCATTTGCATGCCATGTGCAAATTTTCGCTCGTAATGCCCATTTAGCCTCAGAGTCCCCCACGCTGCCACCTTCTCTTTCTGTTGTTTCTCGCCTCGAGGTTTGCCGTCTCTTTCGAGGTGGCACGTAGCAAATTAAATGAGGCGCGCATGTGGGCGTGGCAAATTGGCAACACGTAGTGCAAGTATGCAGGGGTTCTAAGGAGGCTTGAGCCCGGGCGCCTCGACTTCGACTTCGAGTTCAATTTACAAAAATATTCCAAGAACCAGCCAGAACTAAAGAAGAAAACTTGTGCTACTTTCAAAAGTTTTCCTGTCCCTCTTTCACTTTACTAATGGGTCGAAGTTGAAAGGATGGTTACCCTTGACCCCCCACCCCGCTGGACCATAACATTCACCCATCTCCCCTCTGACCACTAAGCTCTCGAAAAGTTGAGATATTTTTTGCTAAAAAATTAATACTCTGAGCTGTTGTGAACTTGTCTTTTGGCCACACTTTCAGAAATGAGCTACTTAAAGGTGGCAAAATACTTTCCGGGGAATTCTCACGGCATCTCAGATGGGTCAACTTTGAGAGAGCTAACCCTGATTTCGGTAAATTTTCGTACTTTTAGACCCCCAGAATACCGGGACCTACCCCTCCGATTTCTGTTGAACCTGCTTAGATTTTTTGAGTTTGCAGCATACTCAGGCATATACTCATCCACGCTCAGTCACACTTCATTCAGAGATCAAGATCAAAGAAACCGATAAATGTAAATTCTAAAAAGCCAGAAAACCAATCTCCAAACATCAGTCTTCCGTCTTCAAAGTCCAAGATCCCACTTGGTCGGCCTTTGTTTGAAAGGCTCTACGAAAACCGAACCTCGAACCTGGAACCGACACAATGACACAGAATCTCCTGCTGAACCCAAAACACCTTCCAATGTCCCTCCAACCCAAAAGATACACCCAGATACACAAACGCCACTAGAGATACAGATACAAAATACAAAATACAGATACAGATACACACTTGAACATACATAAACGTACGCTTTATAATTTCCATTTTGATTGTGTCATTTGTTTTTGTGTGATTGTTATTGTATTTTTCAAAACGAAAACGAAATTCTTTTGTTTCAGGAGTTACAATTCTTCTATCGCTCACAGTGTTTCTCAACCTTGTAGCTGAGACATTGCCCCAAGTATCTGATGCAATCCCCTTGTTAGGTAGCGATTGCATTTAAAACATACTTACCAAATGCAAATATATATTCAAATTTGTCAAACAAAACCGAATAATTAACTAAACTACTTAATATGATTTACATATACGTACACGCCTAAATATATATGTATATATAGCAGTATATATATACATATCTATGTATCTACATATATATATTCATTGAATATTATTGTTATTGTTGTTATCTATATATATATATACATATCTATTACGATTATATTACTCACACACATTGCTAAATTGTTCGCATAAATAATCCCCCAAAAAAACCAACCAAAGCCAAAAAACCAAAAAGAAACCAAACCGAACTTACAATTAAACTTAAATAAAGTATTAGTCTAACTAACCAACAACCAAGTCAAACAATATCCAACTCTAAAGTGACAAAAAGTTGTTAAATGTTATTTGTGTACGTCGTACTATGTTTACTAATTACAACAACTTTGCTAAGTAACTACTAACTTAACTTAACTTAACTTAACTAAAACCAAAACCAAACTAAACCAAATCAATTCTAATTCCAATTCGTTCTCTCTGTTACCCAAACCTATCTTCTAAATCGTTCTAAACTTGAAGTAATAATAATATCAAATATATATCCAATATATATCGAAGCAGTTTCTTAGTTGATCATACTATCTTCAGTTGCCTCTATATCGCCTTCTCTCTCGTTCTCTATATCTCGATCTATATCTCTCGCTATATCTTATCTATCTATCACTGTATCTCTGTATTCATTTGAAAAATCGACAATCTTTTTGGTTCGCTTCTTAATCAAAGCCAATTCAGATCAACAACAAGTCCCCCAGGAAGCCAGTTACCGTTAACACAAGTTAGGGCAAACTTTTAAATGCTATCGTTATCTATATGTACTTCCGTTCTATACTTTCTCTACTTCCGTTTCCGCTTTCTCTTCGATTTCTTCTACTCCAGCTCATTGCAGTGCGACCCTTAGAGTCCACTAATATATTTATATAATTCCGATTCCCTGAACTGATGCGGCAAGTCCTGAAAGATGCATTAGACATCACGTATTCGAAATAAAATCCTAAATTCATTTAAAATTGTTATCTTTTGCATCAGAGACTTGCCTTCTAGTGCCTAGCCAGTTCCTTCTGTAATTATTCATCATAAATACTATATGCAATTATTGTATTCTTTATATATAAATCCAAACTGTTTGATAACTGTTATGTCTTGCAGTACACATTGCTTGTACTCCTTCCGCTTCGCTAATATCCTCCAATATTTCAACCCATATGTTATTACAAAAGATACTTATGAGACAGATTTCAATACAAGTGAGTTTGGGATAATACTTGTGAATATAACACGATTAAACGCCTTTGCTTACCAGATGTGAAGTGATGTCCTCACTTAGACCGAACATTGAACAAATAAAGATATCCATTAGTTAAAGAAAAGAAAGAAAGAAATGATTTTTTGTCTTATATCGTATGATTTGACTTTTTTGCTAACTGCTTTGATTTGTGTTTGATTTGGTTCTCTCACTCTCACTCTCAGTCTCACTATCAATATCAATATCACGCCAAAAACACCTCAATCACTCATCAATAGAGTATCGAATTTTGCATTGCTTTCACCTTTCACCTCAAGGTTACTTCACCCTCGGTTTTGTTCATGAGTAAAAATATATTGCCACCATCTTGCAGCTCGTTCTCGTTATCGTTATCGTTATCGCTCGTTCACCCGCCACACACACACACACGAAACACACTTACTCACAAAAATAAAACTACCAGTCATGAGACCACGACAAAAAATATATATAAAAACCACCCACAATGACCCACCCAACCACCGCTCCACTCTACACAAAATAATTTAACTTTCCCACTCACATTCCCCCCACCAACCACACTTCTCTATCTGTCTATCTCTCTGAACTTTCGATATTCAACTGTTTGACCCATTTCTCGGAATGATATTTTTTGCTTGAGAACCTTTTTGAGAACTCAAAACTGTGTACGAAAACTCCATTATAGATTCGAATAATGTACTATGTAATGTAAATATTGGTCGTTCGATCGCCTAGCTGGTATTGCAAAAATATCATTTCGTTGGGATCCGCTTGCCATCATGTTTGTTTGTTGACTTGGGTCGCGGATTTATTTGCTTACAGATAACCGATATATATGTATACTCGTATAGCCACTTGGAATGCACTCTCCCCCACCAAGAACAACAACAGCCAATAACCAATCTTTATAATTAATACTTACAAAGTATACCCCGGGTTTTGTGTGTGCCAAGTCGTGTTGTGTTCTCTGCGAGAAGGTTCAGCCAAAAAATATCATTTAGTCTAAAAATCCCGAAGCTCCTGCCTATCCTGCCTATCTCTGAATCTGATACCGAAACCGAAGACACTCGGACCGACTGAACTCTCTACATCCGGCTATCCCTAGTACCAAAACAAACCAAACACCAGTTCTGACCAAATTTGACAAAATATTTTGCAGGTGTCACTATCCTACTGTCGCAAACAGTTTTCTCTCTGCTGGTCGGCAATGTCATTACCAAGACCAGCGAAGCTGTACCGCTCTTAGGTATTCGTAACCTTCAATCTTTTGTAACTTTGAGTTTATGATTTCAAAAAAATCAACAAAAAAAACAAAAAACCAAACTAAATCTAAATTCTTAGAGCTATAAAAACAAACTTTTCTCTCTTTTAGCTGATAAATCAAAATAAAATCAAACTCAAAAAAACGATTGTACAAAGTACTCCTTAGACATAACGAAAGTTTGCGCTAAAAACATCAAAAGTGAATCTTGTAAAAAAAAAAAAACAAAACTAGAGCGACTAAAGTAGGTAACGAATGTTAAGCGATGCAGAGCATGATCCAACTCCAACTGGATAAAAAACGAAATGAAGATGTTGAACCAACTGTATCTTTGGAACCCAAGCCCCGTACCTCAAAAAACCCCCCCAAAAAAACCCAACTGACCTCCGCTTCTTTAGACTTTTGGCTGAACCTATGAGACTCGATTTCCAACTAACCAACACGCTAACCACACTCGACTCTTAGCCTTGCCGATTTTGCCTTCGCGGGTGTCCTTGCTTGGCCTCTGCTTGGCTTTTCCACCCACCCACCGCAAAACCGGAAACGCCTTGTATATATATATTTAAATCTGTGCTTTAGGTAATCGCAATTAGCAAAAGTGCGTTGTTCCTCCTCACACCCAAGTATCAAAAGCTGACTAAAAATATCAAATTAATTAAACATCAAGCATTAAATATTCAGAGAGCATACCGTAAACTGCCGAAATCAATTGAGAAATCCATAATTCGTTCGCTAGAGCAATTAAAAGTATCGACTCACAGCATTATCCTTAAACCAAGTTGAAAACCAAATACTAACCCAGACAAAGATTCTCCCATGATTACCCAAAATTCCACCCACAATTCTGCTTGATCTTCATATTTTATTAGAGTAGCTACTTTTAAAAGTGCACTCAAGTCGAGAGGGTATTAAGAATTCCATTTTAAAAATATTTACAAAAAGAATTTGAAGAATATCTGATATTAAAAAATATAAAACACTTTATGTGACCCTCTACTTGATTGCACCTTGTGTCTTTTTTTATTAAATTATTTTTGTTCAATCCCAAGCATGATGCCAAATAATTAAAACAGTCAACAATAAACTGCATGACGACGAATGCTACCTAAGATTATCAAGTAAATAAAAACATAGTGGCTTTCAGTAAAAAATAAAGTAGCATAGATTAACGTAATATAGTCACAGCATTATAATCACACCGTAAAGTTGATCACTATACTTTCTCAAATCGTAACTCTAACCAAAGTCTTTCATGAAATGAAGCTAAAAAAAATAAAGTAATGTTGTACGATTTTTGTAAATTATGATTTCGAGCTTTGGTTCTTAGTGTTTCGATGAGATCGCAAGACCCGCGACCACCACTCTAATATACTACTTCTTTCTGCTCTCTCTCTGTTCGACCCACTCAACCAATCAACCACTGAACCCACCCACCCACTGAACACCCCAGGCACCTATTTCAACTGCATCATGTTCATGGTCGCATCGTCGGTGGTGCTGACTGTTGTGGTGCTCAACTATCACCATCGCACGGCGGATATCCACGAAATGCCCCCGTGGGTGAGTCACTAACCAATCACTGGCCAAACCAACTCCAGTCCTCCACACCTTCCCTCCTAACTCTTGGCTATTCTCAGATCAAATCCGTTTTCCTACAATGGCTGCCCTGGATCTTGCGAATGGGTCGACCCGGCCGCAAGATTACTCGAAAAACAATACTACTAAGCAATCGGATGAAGGAGCTGGAGCTAAAGGAGCGCTCCTCCAAGTCCCTGCTGGCCAATGTCCTCGACATCGATGACGATTTCCGGCACACAATATCGGGCTCACAAACAGCCATCGGTTCATCGGCGTAAGTATTTTCTTTCTTTACAATTTATTGTCCAAAATTTATCATATCTATGGACCTACCTCTGCAGAAGCTTTGGGCGACCGACGACGGTGGAGGAGCATCACACAGCCATCGGCTGCAATCACAAAGATCTTCATTTAATTCTCAAAGAATTGCAATTCATTACGGCGCGCATGCGCAAGGCCGATGACGAAGCGGAATTGATAAGCGATTGGAAATTCGCTGCAATGGTTGTGGATAGGTAAGTTTTCTTAGTTTTCTAATTAATATTAAATAGTAATAATTCATAGAACTAAAAGCCTTCATGCTTGAACTTCAAACCCACATTATGATAAACCCAAATGAACTCCTAGGTGTGTGTACATTCAATTTGGTGTGAACTTATTGAACCGGAGCCAGTGGCAGGCTGGCAGTTTGGCAGTTTCGCAGCCGGTCAAGTCAAACAATTAGGCTCGGCAAACGCTTTGCCTGCCACACGACTTCCGGCATAATGAACGCCTTAACACACCCACACACAAACACCGACACAAGCATAAACGCACGCACACCATCGTTCGGCATACACGTGCCGCAAATATTAAAAGATGGCCGACTGCCCGGCCGACCGCCATCTTGTTTGAAGACGCTCTCTACTAATGTGTGCGCCCCCGCACGGCACTCTGTTCTTCTACTTTGCAGATTTTGTTTAATTGTTTTCACGCTCTTTACGATTATTGCAACGGTAACCGTGCTGCTATCAGCTCCGCACATAATCGTGCAATAAGGACGTTCGAATTAGACAATTAAGCTACGGATACGCGCGCCCACACGCCCCCATCGGTGTCGGCATGTCGGTGTGTGCGTGGCGCAAGGAGTTGCCTAGTTAAGCTCATTTCCAAAAACCAAAAAACAACTAGCGAAGCTGCTTCGAAACAAAGCAAAACCAAAATAAGAAAAAAAACACTAAAAAAATAACTCAAATAAAAAAATTGTTAATTACATTTTTAAGTAAAACCAAGAGCAAAGGAAAATTTCGCTAAAACAAAAAAAAAAGGGACAAAATCATGTACTAAAATAAAATATTTTATGGACAAACCAAACAAAAAGCAAAAATTACTGCCGTACAAGAAACCGAAAAAAAAAGTGTTAAGTAAGCTACACTCACACACACACAACCATAAAGTTCTAAGAGTTAAGCAACCAAAGAAAATTGAAACAAAAAATTTGCATAGGAATAGCCTAAGGAGGCGGAGACCGACAAGCACGAAAGGATGAGAGGAACAACAAAGAGACATCGCGGGACAGGACACACAAAGGTTATATATATAAACACATACATACACATACTGACAGAAACACATACGTCTATGTAATTGTATGTACAATAACAGAGTTATAAGTTAATTAATATGCTGAGTTGTTATAATTTATGTAAGATGAACAGGATATAGACAGACACACACACACACAGACAAAACACTTAAGATATATGATATATATAAGAGATTGTTCCTATGAGACATTAGATATGTATTTAAAATGGCAAAACACACACACACACACGCAGCGAGAGATACAGATACAAACACAGACACCGAAGCACTTAATTGAAAAAAAGCAAAAACAAGGGAAAGAAACCATTTATTTGTAGGAGAGTGTAGCCGGAAGTGGGAGTGTGTAGGTATAACTGTTGGCCTGTTAACCCTTTTGTTGTTGACATTTTTTTAACTGTCAAAATATTTATGTTTTTCTTTTCCGTTTTCATTTTGGGATCACGTGGACCAACAATATTTTGTTTGATTGTCCTTTATTCAAATTTGCAAACAAAATATGATCCCAATGAAGAAACTAATTATTTTAAGGTTGATTCTTAGAGGTTTCTTTTAAAGATTCCATCTTATTATGGTTCGCTGAGGAAGGTTTTGAGAATTGATAGAAGGAGGATAGCTAATTGTAAATGGTAACAAAATGACACATAATAATGGATATAAACAAAAGTATATATATATACACACAGATATATATATTCATAGTGAATTGAATTAATTTTTAAATGGCGCATCCACGAACCCTTGGAGATGAAGCATGTTCGTTGAACATCATGTTTTTAGAAAATTTATTGTTGAAATATTATAGCAAATCGATTAAGCAGAAGAACAAAACGACCCGAGGGCAAACCAACCGAGTTATAGTCACCAATTAATTAGTCAAAGTAATAATAATAATTGACAGAAACAGTGAGGCAGAGAAACCGAAACCAAACTATTGATACAAGATGAACAGGTGTATATATATTTTACGACACATATATCACCACATACCATATATATACATACACATATATATACGAAATATATATTTTTAATAAACCGAAAACGGAAACGAGCAAAACTAAAGACACTAAGCAGAAGCAAAGCAGCGCAAGAACAGAAAACCCCACTAAAAACCAACCAACCAGCCCACAAAAACCAGCCCAATCATCTCAAAATCTAAACCTAAAACCAGAATCGAAATCAAAATCGAACGAAAAGTATGAAATCACAATTTTGTTGGAAATTTTGCATAGTTTTCGGATGAGTTGTCTCTGTCAGTGTATATCCTCTAAGTATTCCTAAAATCGAGCTTCGAATTCTGTCTACCTTACTCTGCTCTCCCCCCTCCTTACACAAAGCAAAACAGTGATATTTACGGTATAGCCCCCAAAATGACGTACGAACTCTGACTTGAACACTCTTTCCGGAACCCACCTAAGACACCTTTTAACGTGAATGTTTTCTACACACACTACAACAACAACAACTACCAACAAAAAAAACCAAAAAACAAAAATAAAAATAAAAATGAAAAACCTACCTCCTTGTTACCAAGACGAAATGTTGACGAAAAGTCAGATTAGAGACGAATTACGAAGAATATGCAACACTGCCGAGTTAATCGCACTCCTCTGTCTTCCCAAAAAACAAAACTAAAAATATAACGAAATGTTGTAAGACCACCACCCCACCCCTCCCATTTGTGTTGTCCCAGACAAAAAGAATTTCTAACAGAATTGTGTGAGAAAAGCCCATTTTGATAGCCAGACGAAAGTTTACTTAACGGAAACCAGATCACCCCCTTCCTTATAAGCCATTTCCGCTGTCAGAAGGAACATTCCGATACCCGGTACCCCAATCGAGTGCTGAATCAACTGAAGGAACTGCAGATCAGATCTAAGCGTTATATGTGTATACACTCACTTTATATGTTTTATTTGCATTTACATTTATATTTTTAATAAATTTAAATTTATAATTACATTTAAATTTGATATGAGACGACTTTTATGTACTTACGCCCAGAGCGATGCGTAATCCTACCGAAAACTGCTCTGTCCCCCATGAGGTTGTTGTTTATCGAGCCTAAAAAAATGCAAATTCAGTATCCGATTTAAATCGAAATTGAGGTCTTGAGTTCAAGCGTATTGAAGGTCGAAAGTGTTACGAATCAGAATGTTGGAGAGTTGGTATAGTAGAGGAGACAAGTGTGAGCATTTTAAATTTAATTTTTTTTATAATTAATTTAGTGCTAATCTTTGAGCAGCTAGGCGCATAATTAGATCTATGTATATGTGTATGGATGTCTTTTTGATAAAAAGAAGCTATTTTAAAAAGCAAACCATTTTCTACACTCTTTAAAAGATTGAACTCTACATGTACGAGATTATGTATAATACAAGTAATAATAATATAGAATTAACTAGGCAATTAAAATGAAATGAGAGGTGATCCGCAGCAGGACCCGAAAAACTAAGCGTCCTACATTAGGAAAGGGCAACTAAAGCGAAACCCCGCACCCGGGAGGCGAAAACTAATCGATAAAATTAAATAATGAATAAAAAAATGAAAAAAACGATAAACGAATTTAAAAATGAAATTACCGCAAAACCAAAACTTGTAGTAAAGAAAAATGTTTTTTCATTTGAAAACTCTACTACTTACTTACTACTTACTTACTTTGCAAGTAATTACTAATTTCCTCTGATCAGAGTTACACGCAATCGCGAAATGCAAAAAGCTAATTACAAAATGGTTGGTACACGCACACAAATACCCTCAGACACACACATGCATAACTCACACATAGGCAGACATGAAAGCATTCAAATTGTTCGTATTTGAAGAAAAAAAATAAAAAATAAAGAAATCAGCAAACGGAAGAGTTCCGATTTTCGTTTCAATTCCACTCCGCATGATCACAGCCAGCGCAATTAAACAGAGTTCAAGAGTAAATAGCGCATTAACAAAAACCGATTCGAGACACTTTTTTAAACAAGGCAAATATATATTTAAAATTAGCATTTAACTAACGAAACAACCAAAACGTAGGCTATAAACTGCAAATGTTAAGCACGTATCTTCACCCGATCAGCCAACCCCCAGCCAAAATCCAAAGCCCAAACCAAAACACTAAAACAAATCCAACCCCATACCCGTATCCCTCCAAACTCCTCTAACTACCAAATCAATTTAAATAGCTAATTGCATAATTATTAAACCGTTACCAAAAAATTCTGACAAATGCCGCAAAAATAAAAAATAAAAAGAAAACTTAAATTCTGCCCACAAAGTATGCATGTAAAAAACAAACGGCTAAACCAGAAACCAAAAAATAAAAAAAAAAAGAATTAGAAAAAGTCTGTTGTCGATAAGAATTATTGGCAGACAAATAACTTTCGTCACATTGACGATAATAATTAATTTTAAGTGAAAAACAAAGGAATTAAATGAATTACTTAATAAACAAATTAATATTAAAAACCAAGAGACATGATTGCGACAAAAACACAAAAAACTGAATAAAATTTATTTTGAAAAGAGAAAAAATTAAAAGGTGTTTTTATTTCTTTTAAATATAAAGGTCAAGGAAAAAACAAAATATATACTGTTATCAATGGTAAATTCAAAATTTTCCCGCCATCTTTTTATCGATAAGACTATCGATATAATACTGTAATAGTACTGCAATACTACTTCTTTTTTATCATCTCTACTTAAAATGCTAAAAACTTTGAATTCTGTTTTAAAACATTAATGGACTTGCGTAAATTGTGTCGCCTCTGCTTTGTGGACAATGCCCTGGTGGACATCACGGAGCACCGGGCCAGCGCCTGTCCAGAACTCACAATACTCCAGCTGCTGCATGCCATTTACGGCGAGGTAGGTCCAAAATTACAACTGAAGATAAGTTTTTAATGTTCATTTTTGACAGAAATTAATGTTGGATGTGGTGGAGAAGTTGCCTATGATTTGCAATGCATGCCTGGATGAATGCCTTCAGCAATATGCCTTTTTCCGGAAACTCAGGACTGCAAATCAGCAGTTGCTGAAACTCTACCATGAAGCACAAAAGGAACTAGAATGTCCAGAGCAGGAGGAGCTACAAGCTACCGAGGAGGAAGATACCCTCCAGGAGTTTGACGCCCAGGATTTAATTGTACTGGAACCAGAGGAGGAGAACAGGGAGTTGGAGCAGAAACCCTCACAGGGCTTGGCCAACCACGATTCGTTGATTGTGTCCGAGTTTCTGCCCTCCACAACCACCCAGGTGGAGCTGGGCTCTGACTACTCCAACCAGCAGCAGGAGGCCACAACCTATGAAATGCGCACCGTGGACTACGCTGCCGTGGAGTTGAAACACTACAACCTAGACGAATACAACGAGGCCAATCGGTTGCTCGACGTGGAGCCAAGTGGCAGCCAGGCGGTCTACAAGTGTCAGTATTGCCCTTTGGCCTACGCCTCCCCCCAGTACCTGAAGACGCATGTGCGCAGCTCGCACGTATGCAAGTATTGCACCATGGCCTTTGCCAAGGTGCGTGATCTCAACGAGCATATAAGGAGCAACCACTCTGACCATCAGTGCGTCGTGTGCAGCAACAGCTTTAGTACCAGCAGTAACCTTCGAGCTCACCTAAAGAGGGTGCACGGTGTCCAACTGCCCGCCCAGGTGGCTCTCTTAGACTACAGACCGGCCTCCGCTGACAAGGACAACCCTCGTCCTCAATAAAAAGAGATACTACTTTTAAACATGAGTTACACCTTTTATTTAACTTCCCAAAATATCTGCGACTTTTCCGTCACAGGTTCGCCTTTTGCGCGATCTTTACCGTTGATGTACATGGGAGTGAATTCTCTGTAGGCTATGCAGACACGTCGCTCCTCGACATCCTCTCGGAGAACAGAATGTTCGAATTGATACCTTGCCGGCCCATACAAGACTATCAGGGAGAGGCTAAAAGGAAGAAAGAGAGGATGTATTTCCTATAATACAAAAAATGCTCCATATGCTTACTTGGGCATAGGAATCCTCAGGACTTTTCCCTTGTACTTGACCAGTTCCTCTTCCTCAAGCAGCGGAGCCAGCAGCTCGTTCTGATACTCATCTACCAGATCCAGATTGTACTTCCCAGCCTGCTGGGGTTCGTAGGGTGTCAGGGTCAGCACTGCATCGCCAAGGCAGTTGACAGTGACCACGCGCTCACCCCAGATCCAACAATCGTCCACGTGCGGATCTATACTAGCTCCTTTGCTTGGGTCGTACTCCAAGGAGCACTGCTCGATGGTTTGGAAGCCACGTAGCAGGGGAACGTCATTTAAGCGTCGCTGCACGTACTCCGTGGTGCGAGGGAACCCGGCAAAGTTTCCCACCTGAAGCTTGCGCTTCTTAAAGTTTGTCTTGGGCCCGAAGTTTTGTTTCCGGCGTCCGCTTTGCGATATGTCCCAGGGCAAGTCATCCAGATCCTTTAAAAGTTGTGCGCCCTCCTCCACACTGATGAACTTTTCCTGGACCAGGATGCCTGAAAGGGGTAGGCCATTTTCTTGATCGTGACTGCTGTGGGACTCCTGTCCCTTGTCCGTATCCCAGCCGGGTTGGAAGAGTTCACAATGCACGCAGTACGTCCAGGCCTCAAGCTGCCGGAATTGTTCCTGGAGTGAGGGCTTGGCTATTTGGAAGTCCTCCTCGCAGCTCAAACAGGTGCGTACTCCCTTGCAGCCACATGGTCTAATGGTATTCATTCCGGAATTGGCGTAAAAATGTGTAAACAGTGACCCTCGTTCAGCTTATTCTTCGGAAACATAATAACAGCTGATTGTTGTTCATTTATCGATATGTTTGCCAAATCTACTACTATTTGCTACTACTTTTCGAAGAAACTACTACTATTTCAGTACTGGACAACCAAGGCCAACACTTAGTATTTTAAAAAACTTTCCAACACTTTTTAAGGCAGCGGGAAATTTGAATTTTTGTGTGGATTAGAATGTGTTAAAAGTCGTAATTAAAGCCAATATTTATTTATTTATTTTGTGTTTATCAAATTAAAGCAATGTGACTAACATCTATAAAGACATGTTAATTAAAACCAAATATTTATTTATCTTCATATATGTATTTATATTTTGCGTTTAGATTCAGAGATTGTTTTTCATTTTACAAATACTTATTTTAGACCTGTTTCAATCAAACAAATGCTGCTTGGTGATCAATACTAATCGTTCTCTTCTCCTCCAGCTAGTCTTATACGTTTTCCAATATGGAAAATACTAGGTAACATAGGATGGGGCACTCCCCGGGCAATGCGATGAATGCTTTTCTTCAATCTTTTCTGATTTTTCTATCTGTACAAATGGAGCTCGATGATCAGTCTTGTGGTGCAGATCCAGCTGCAGTGCCCTAGATCTTGAGGCAGCCGCGGTGGCTGCCGCTGCGGGCGTAGACATCCTCGAAGGCGTGGATAAGCTCGTCCATGCCTTTAAGAAGGCCCTCCTCCCGGTTGCCCGGCGTCCAGGAGCTGCGGTGGTCCACCCTCACCTGGGTCGGCAGCTCCCTGCTCTTGGCGAAGTCGATCAGCCAAACTCCCACTCGGTCATCGTCATAGACGATGAAAATGCTGGAGCCAACGATCTCGTGGCGGGCAAAGAAGGCGGACTGCTCGATGACCAGGCGCATGTGCTTCAGTCGCTTCAGCAACTCCTTCTGCACGGATCGCCGGGCGGCCAGGAACTGCTCGATGGTCTGGGCAATCTGCTCGCTGCTGCGGCAGGTCTTCAGATCCTTGACAGGGGACCGTCCGCGCAGGCGCAGGGCCTCGATGCGGAAGCCCTTGGACTGGGAGGAGGATAGGGACTCTCGGAAGGTCATGTAGCGCAGCTTGGTGATGGCCTGCGCCTCGTGCTCCGCCTCCGTGGGAGCTGCTGGGTCCACGGCGATCATTTTCTGGTAGAGATCCGGTCGCAGGGTGGCGTTGCTCACCTCCGACTCAAGGAAAGTGCGACAGCCCATCTTGATGTCCATCACGCACGGATCCCGATAGCCGGAAAGCAGATCCTGCAGCTCGATGTAGTGCTGTCCCTGCAGCTCCCGCATCCCAAAGTAGGCGGGCACTATCTGAGCCGTCTGCGGCTCCTGGCAGATGAGTCTGTAGGCACGCACTTCGCTGTCCTCGACACCGGCGATGCGTTTCCGCACAATACCCGTGGATGTCGGCACAATGCTGCAATAAAAATAAAAAAGTTAGATTCCAGTTTATGACTATTTTGTTGCCAAAGAAACCCTTACCTTTCTGGGTGACCGGAAAGCTGCATCCAGCCCTGGGGCTTGCCCTGATTTTGGGTCTGCTGGTGCTGGAGAAGATGTGGCGTGGCTGGGGCACTCAGTTCGAGAGCATTCTGCAAGCAAAAAGAAAAGAAGATAGCTCAGTAAGGGGTTGATATGAGGGCGATATCGCTGCTGGGAATGTATTCCGAAGCCCGAAGCATTATTGCCTGCTGGCGATTATAAATAATGAAACAAATTTTATTTGCGCGAATGCTTGACTGCCACGCCCCAGCCTCGTAAACGCGAAATTTATGCAGGCAACCCGCCAGGCCAAGCATTCGCACATTGTCCGAGGCTTTAAGCAGGAAGTCCCTTATTTTTTTGTCGCAGAGCTTCGGGCTGGAAAGTTTTCTTCGCAAATGACAGGGCTGTAAACAACGGGTACTTACAATGGCCAAGAACTTGAGCAGTGACATCTGGGCTGGGGCCTGGGACTGGATGTGCTGTTGGGCCTGTGCCGCTCTTTGGAGGCTCAAATAGTCGGCCAAGTTGTCGCAGTTCTCGTAGGGAATCCGCTGCAAATAAGGAAATTCAGATATTTAGTTAACTTGGTTTACACAATCAGATAATTAGTTTGCTGCCAAAAACAAACTTTAGATCCGAAACTGCGAATTTCCCCGTTTGTTTTTTGAGTTATTTGAATATGGCTAGTCCAACAGTGAGTCATTTAGGTGTTAATTCATTATACAATCAGAATTCGAATGCATTTCGGAACGGCATTTTGAAAATTCTAATCGGACCTCGATCGGAGACGTCGTGTGTGGTTTACGACCGATCCAACCGATATTGCCGTGTCCCTAATGAGGCACTTAGTATGCAAAGTTGGCGTTTGTTTTCGTTAGCCGCGCTTGTTTGTTTGTCGCAGGCCTGCCTATACGAATTGAGCCATAACCATCGTGGCCATAACAAATAACGATCTGTCATCGTAGAAGGAGCGATCGAACACCCCACCACCGATCAACCGATCAACCAACCCGCACCACCTCACCTGGCACCGCTTTGATTAATTAACTAATTAAGGTAAATGCCTCGAAACCCGTTTATGCCCCGCATCTTTATACGGTTTGACGCTCTGATTCTGCTCTTGTTTTTGCGCTTGTGCCCGTGTCCGTGCCCGTGTCTTATCTTGCCACTATTATCGTATCTTAACTGCCCAGATAACGTTGCGGCTTTTCGCAACGGTTGCCACACACCGCTGCTCCCGGGTCCTGGCCCTAATCTTGGGTTAATAACATCGCAGCGATTGTGATCTTTACGTAAGCCGTGAGCAAATTGAGCAAATTTGCATATGTGGCACAAATTCGTCAGGCGACGGCAAAGGGGGAGCTCCCACAGTGAACACCCGCTGCCAGGGTCACAGCTCCTTATCAATGGGGCGCTGTATGGCGCGATCATTGGGGGTCTTATCGTACTGTTTGATTTGCGGGCGCGAAAACAGAGGATTAACTTAAAATCCCCACCGATATGGTTTGCCGCATAATCTCAAGATAAGCAAGAAAGGCCTAGTAGGCCTACTAATTTTAGAACCCTAAACTATTCTAATACCAGCATGGCAGCATAATTTATGAACCTTCCATGATCGAATTACCATAAACCGCCAAAGAGACGAGATTATGTTTTAATTAACAAGCTAATAAGATGTCAGAATCGATTAGATGGCTCTAACCAAGATTCGAGGTGGGGATCTCGTGTCGTCAGCTCTGACCTTTAACGAGAGTTACACATTACAGAGTTAACGGAGGTTTAATTATAGCAACGATCGGGGAGCTGGATCGGGGTGCCTAATCGGTGTCGACGTCAGCAGGTTTTTTATTCATTGACTGAAGCTCGTTTTACAACTGCATTTTACTACAGATTCGTATCGGAGCCGAGCTAAAACCCACTCAATAGCCGATATATTTGTACATTTTTGCACGTACACCACCTGGCAAAATTAGCATTTAGGCTTTAATTTGGATTAGAGCAACTGCGTCAGGCCCCCTGACCAGTGGGAACCCACACTCTTGGCGCCCTGTTACTCAACTTTTATGTCCAGTCCCCAGTTACCTTAATTATCTCACCGATCTGGGATGCGGCCATCTAGAAAGGGCACTCATGTCATCGGGAAATCGGCCAGGGAAAACCTCAACTTCAGCGGAAAAGCACTTGTGACAGATGTCAGATGCAAAACAAAAACTGCAAACTGTGCAAAACAATAATTAACTTTAACTGTCACATCTGGGCAGGCAAATGGGCAGAAAAAAAAATTACAGCACTTTTCGCTTGAGCGGTTCTGGCTGCAAGTCGAGGTTCAAGCTCGGCTTTGTGATTCGAACCTGTGATCTCAGTGCGATTTTTGGGGGCTGTGATTTGGTGGCGTTTTGGCCGCGTTTTCGGCCATAGCGTTATTTTTAGATCTCGCCTCGCTTCGCCATTCCGATTCCGATTCTGATGTTTAACTAAGCTCACAGTTTAGTAGTGTTTATTTATGACTACTTAACATTTTCTATAGCCCCCGGACGAACGTGTTAACCGCCAGAAACAGAAACAGAAACGATAGCAACAGCAACAAAAATTAAAACATACACAAAAAAGGCGAAAAAAAATTTAAAAATTAAAAAAAAAAAAGTCGAAAACCTTTGCCTCAATCAATTTATGCGCGTGACGTCAAGTCGCTATTTTTTTTTGAGTCGAGTTGTTAATTTAACAAAATCAAGCTGACAAACTTTTGGGCCTCCCCGAGAAGCCTACACCACACAGTGTTGAGGTCCACCCCAAAAGGGCCTGGAGGAGGGCTGGAGTTCTTGGCCCTGAACCTGGTGGTGGCTGGTGGTAGAACCTGCCCCAGAAACTGGTTCTCCACACCCGGGATCGCCGCTCCGTGGGCGGTGACTCAGGTGGCAGCCACAGTTGCACCGGCAGCCTTCGATGCATTTTTGTAGAACACAACCCTGACATCAAGACACGATCTTGAGACGATGCCCCAAGACTCCAGGTTGGCCCAGACTACTAACGAGCCGGCAGGGACCGTCCAATCGATATATCGATTGGTCTCAGATTGGATCGAATCGGATTGGATCGGATCGGACTCCCAGAGTATTAATATTTGCATTGACGTCAATCCGGCCAACTTGGGGGGGATGACCAGCAGGGCGCGGAGATGGGGTGGCTGAAGAGGAAGGGTGAAGGGGTGGCTCAACCAAACCAGTTGGCTTAAATGATAAAAAAAAGCGTATAACGCAATACCCGAGCCATCCAGCCACCAGAGTAGGATTAGATCCGTGCCCGGAGGCACCAACTATCGAAGAACTAGAGATTAGGTTTCGAATTTTCACACTCTCTTCGGTCAGAACCATCAATCTAAGTCGCAGTTCATGAGTAACGGTGGTCTGGAGAACCGGATCCCGTCTAGACCGACATGCGTCAATATGAATAACGTCTTTCCCTTTAATGCATTCATCGGGCTTACACGAAACTCCACGTGAATCACAAC